GGGGGTCGAACCGCGGCTGCTTCTAGCGGGACGCGACGCCGCTCGGCTCGCCAAGCCGATCCACCCGCGACACCGCGATTAACTGACCCGAGAGCGGCGCGGGCAATTTCATTCCGATACAACGCGACACTCGCGACACTTCCTACGGCAATCCCGAGGCTAAGCGACATCCGCCCGCCGCCCGCGACACACACAGCGAATTGACGAGAGCGACGCGCAATATGGCGGGAGAGGGGCGAGAGGTGACGCGCGCCAACTTCACGCGCACCACACTTCACGCGCGTCAACCAGGTCGCGCGACACGACGCCGCGACGCTCGGACGGCAATTAGAGGCGCGATCAAGGTAAGATTCGCCGAAACCGCGACAGATCCCGAGCGATTTCGCGGGATCGTGCGCGCCGGTGAGTCCGCGAGCGCTGAATTGACGCCGCGCGAACGTTCGCGGGATCAAACCGCGGGCCACTTCCAGCGAGACGCGAAGCCGATCCACCCGCGACACCGCGATTTTCTGCGTTCCGCCGTTCCGCTCTACGAGTTGGCACTACGCGCGTGTGATATCGTACCTTAGTCTCGCAATTTTCGACGGCTCCTCATTTACAGTTCGTTACTTTCTCGCCGAGTCGCGTATTTCCCCCGTGCAGGTCGAGAGCCCAGCTTTATCACTCGCGTCGTTATCACATACGAGTATCGCGACGAGTCGCAGGTAACAGTTCACAATGCCCGAGCGCTCGAGACGAATAAGCAGCGCGAAGTACCCTGGGACGATCGAGAAGTAACCGTCGCGTCGTCTCAATTCTCAACCTACATTGTTCGTAACAATCGGGGGAGCTTCCGTGGTACTCGACGCGGCTGTGCCTCGAACAGTAATGAGACGCACGGAAGGTCGCGAGCCGCGCCGCCCGCCCGCTCGAGCCGCCGAACCGCGACAATAACAAGGTGACCGTTTGCAAAGAAAAAACTGGAGCGCCGAGTAACTGCCTACGCACATCGCCACGAAATATTTAACGCGATACAAACGCGCCCCGTGCGTCGTATCTATCAGATCGAAAGTGTTACGCGATTCGGGCACGGGCGATTGAACGAGCGATTATCGCGCGATTATTACAGTGGTAAGTGAAGCGAACGGCACACGATACTAATTTTCTTAAGAGGATCCTAGAGTCATCCGTTTTACCGGCACATTCGAATATAGTTTTTGCACTGGTAAAGCTTTTTTATTAGCTTTTGTGCACAAAATAATACCAGGATGGATCGCGGACCGCATGGCAGAACATTGTCATACTTGAAACACTTATACTCGTTTCTACCAACGCAGTTTAACTTTAATCTCGGTTCAACTTGCCTTGTATCTTTCTCTAGTTTTATGAATTGGAAAAGGACAAGAAGTAATTTAAAGTTAATCCGCATTGGTGGAAACGGGCATTAGTGCAGAAGTTTAATAAAAAAGGTATTGGTATTTGAAAGTTTTCATTTGTAATTCTAACTAAATTTGAAATTGTCTTTATAAAATTGCCTCCCACACGATTGAAGTACGCATAAAGACAAAACAAGGAACAGTCAACTTTATAGAAAAGAACCAAGAGAAATGAAAACTATCATTTTATAAACGATTAAAGTTATCTAGCCTCAATCACGTACAAAGTGATATGTTTAATTTCTCTTTGTTTTTTTTTTATATAAAGTTGACTGTCCCTGGTTTTGTCCTTATGCAATTTTATAAAGCCATATTCAAATTTAGTTAAAACTATGAATGGAAACTTTCAAATGCCAATATATTTTTTATTAGACTTCCGAACTGAGTGTTTTAAATATGAAAATGTTCTGTTATGCGATCCGCAACTTATCTTGGTACTATTTTGTGCATAAAAGCTAATAAAAGGAATTACAAGCGCAAATACTATATTTAACTGTGTCGGTAAAAAAAATTTAAGTTACCTGATCGAAAACTCTGCATCCTTGTTGGTTCTCGTAGGCAATTCAGTAGGAAAAAATCGGTGTGTCGTTGGCCTGACTTTAATCTTATAATTAGTTCATTTCACGTTTGTCTCTTTTTAAAGTAACAGTTGAAAAGAGACAAAGAGCGAATTAAACTTAAAGCTTACAGCGAATAAACTTTATAAGACAGTAGCCACCGTCTCGACGCATTTGCGTGTGTCGTCAATCGGATTTCAGTAAATCGCACGGGCTAACGATCGCACGTCCGAGCGTCTCTCGGTATTTATCGCGAGTCTAAGAATTCATTTATTAAACCGCGTCAGAACCAATTTCGGCCGAGTTTTCCGAGACGCGGCGACATAAACCGACCCTTTCCCCGAGTAATTGTTTAAATGTATGTGCACATCTTCGCAGGGCATAAAAGTTCGGAACGAGATGGAAAAGAATTCAACGGCAATCGCGAGAAGCTTCTCATCTGGATGACGAGACGAAGGAGGACGATGGCACGCGATGCAGCAGGAGGAAGTAAAAACAGACGGTCGCTAACGACCCGCGACCACCGCGATTCTATGTTCGCGTCCGTAAAAACGCGAGAAGCAGCCGTTCTACTTTGCGATTAAACCCGGCGTCGCTTCTGCTCTCGCAGGTGAGCCCCGCACGCTCGACGCAGCATCGGGCTGACGCGTTGCCGCGCGTGCTACGAGCGCGACCTGTTTACCTGCCTCCTCGGCATATCGGTTCCGTCTCGCTGAGAAACCGCGACGCGTCGTTAAGCTCGTCCACCTGGGGTATAAAGATCTCTTGCTCGCGCAAAAATGTTACGCGCGGCTCTTCGCAGATCGGCTCTGCCTGCTCTCAAACTGGTGCCACGCTCGTAAAGGAGCGGCGGCGCTCGCGTATTACGAACCGATATCTTCAGAGAATTGAAACGCGCACCGTGGCGTCGAAAGTCGTTAACGACGTCGCATTCGCATTGTTAACATTTGTACTCGCGCGCCGTAGCTCGGCACACCATGGAAAAACATAGATCGGCTACGTCGCGATAATGGAAAAACGATTAATTTCCGATTTATTGGCAGAATCCATGGCTGAAGAGAAATGGTAAGGACAACAGTCTGCGAGCAACTTGTCGTCTTCGTCGCCCCGTCGCCGCGGCGATCGGTACAGAAAACAGAGCGAAATATAAAATGAGGAAAGCGCGCGCCGCGGCGCCGCGCGATGCTCCGCGTATCGCTTCTTGGAAATAATTAACTGTCCGCGATAAAGTGTCTTAGGTTTAATGAAACATCCTTTTGTGCGCGCGCCATGAAGGGACGCCTTCATAAGCAAAGCGGCGACATCCAACACAGCGCGGCAAATGACTTATTAGCAAAGTGACTTCGGGGCCGCATCGCGCCGCGCTGCAACGCTCGCCGGTCGCAAAAGAGGACAACAAAATCGGCTGGTTATTAACCGCCGGTTGTCCGTCTTCGGACGACGGCGCGATGACGACTACCGGCGCGGCAGAGCGGAGCGAGCGGCTCTCGCCGATTCCGTGCCTGGCATCTGGTAGCCAGTGTACACGCTCTGAGAGAACACGCTGTGTATGTCCAGGGACGGCGGCCCGCGGCACGCAAGGCACGACTAAGAGCAAATCGCGAGAGCGCGAGTACTTAGCGGACTTAAATACCGACCGCACGGAAGGCGTCACGTCGAGAGATTCCCTGGTCCATGAGAATATCCCGCGATCGAAAAGAATGAGCCCGAGTCGAAATTTTGGCCCTATGTCGAACCTTTCATTCCATTATATAGTAGGACCTGAGACAGTAAAAGAGGTCGCACTGCAGGTACAAAATTTACTCCTAGTTTAAAACGGATAGTGTCGGAAATTTCTACTTTGCCAATTAAAAGTAGGTTTCAGTAGGAGCTACAGTTCATTTTTAGAATTAAAGATTCAAGGGAGGAGTAAAAAATATAATGTCATCAAAGTAAGTTATTGCTGGTCCATGTAGGTGTATAGAGATTAGCTAGGTAGGTGTAAATTATCCTTAAAAGTGTCAAAGTAGTACCAAAATTTCGACTCGGGAGGGTCCTCGAGATCGCGCTGAGAAAAATCTCCATCGGTTAAATCGATCAAGCGTTTCCGAATAAAAAATTGACCATCGATTTTTTTTCGGTTAAATTGTGGATGCATTCGATGAAATTTATCCAATGGAATTGCAGTTACCGATGAAATTTAACCGAAAGACCGATTATATTATTCGTCGGATATACAATTTGATCGAATATACCCGTTCGTTAATATGTAATTCAATTATTCGATTAGTTAGGCCTAGGTATTTTTCTCAGTGCGTGTTTCGAAAGTATTTCAACCGTAAAAGTGGCCATGTCTCTGAAATATATTTTCGCGTGTATTGTATTATTTACCAAATTAATTGATATTAACCGTGCACTAAGAAAAATTTTTATCGCCTAAACCAATTAAGTAGCGTTTCCGATAATTAATTTGTCCGATTAAATTATGAATACATCCGATGAAATGCAGTTACCGACGAAACTTGATTGAAAAACCGATGATATTTTCCATCGGATATATCCATTTGTTATTATGTAATTGGATTATCCGATTATATTTAATCGGACATTTTTCTCAGTGTGGAGTCCTTTATCGTCGCTTTCAAACTAATCGAATCAATATTTTCAGAAAAATTTGTGATCGGGGACTCGCGGCGAGCTCGTCGAGGAGGCGAGAAACCGGCCCTGTGATCGAAGACGGTCAGTCGGTACCGGTCCGGAACCCATTCAGCTGGTGGATGGCGGTTTACGGTAAGGTCCCCGAGAAGATTGCTTATTAGGGAAGGCGCGGAGCAACGGAATAGAAAGGCCAGTGACAATTTGATAGATTGAGCTTTTTGTCGTCACGACTCCGTCGTCGTTAAGGCCGGCACCGATGAAATTATTGCGTTTTTTGTTCCGTCACCGGTCGAATAACTAATAACGAGACGCGTACCGTCTTATTTTGCGACCGAGCGCGTTACGTCACAAGAATTGCTCCCTCCCGTCTCTTTCTAACGTATCATGTCTCATAACGGCCCGGCAATTTTTAAAGATTATTTTTTTACCAAAGCCAAAGCAAATGCATAAATAATTGCGCAATATTCATAAGGGGAGACCGTTGGATTTCGCACGAAATCGAAACGCGCGAATTACAACGTGGTAAAATAGAAAAGAAAGCGAAGAGGGGGGGGGGGGACTGAAAAAAAATCGCTGCGCGCTCGAAGTAATCGAAGGTCGAAGGAGGATGCGGATGTTTTCTCATTTAACGATAGAGGCACTGTACGACATTCAATAAGCATCTCGTAAAGCGCGCTCAACAAATCTTACGGACATTTTATTGGCGCATAAATTAAGGTATTCCAGAAAGAAACTTGGTAGCATGCGGGAGCTCTAAACGTCGAATCTGCATTTCTCCTAGCGCCAATACACCACCTCAAGTATACGTCGCGTAATCAATTCGTATAGGAGATGCCATTATGCAAAACGCCTCTCGTGCCGATACGGATAAGCATGCAGATCGAATGCGCGATAGAAAATAATCTCGATGTCATCTCGCTGACGTTCTTGTCCGCTCTCAAGAAATGCGGTTCGCTTCTTGACGTATACGCGAATACAGTATCCACGAGGAACCTTATGGCAAGCATAAACTGTTGTTTTTATTGGGCGTTATATACGATTTAATTTGTAGCCGTAGGAATGCGACGCCGTTAATACGAGTTCATTTTAATGGCATTCAGAGCCTTGCACGCTTAACGGTAGACGGAAGTATCGATATTGTTTTCGCACAGGCACCGTTGACATCGTTTCTTTTTGACGAAACAAGAGTAATCCTCAATTCCCCCGTGCAAACGAGCCTATAATTTCGCGCGCGGCTATCGTGCCGACTGCCATTATCTCATCTGTTAAATGAAAACGCGTTTACAAGACGGGATCAAAGACACCACGTGATAATGAAATCCATCTTGGAGTGGCCCGCGGCGGATCCGATAAGTCGTTCGCGATCGCCACGCAAGGCGCTAGTTTACGCGCATTTACGTCGCGCGCGAGACAGAGCGCGAGGGAAAGAGAAAGAGGAAAAAAGCGTGTATGAAGTAATCGATGTAGTGCTATGTATATACCGACGCGTGCGTGCAGTCACTGCGCTCAATTGACGTTCGCGCTAATTTTAGAGCGCGCCGCGGCACCCGCGAGCGAGATTAATCCCGCGGACGCGGTGAATTAAGGCCGATCCGTATCTTAAGGACAGACCGAGTTCGGCGTGAAGGGCACGGCGAGGACTGCGCGAGTGCCAACGTTCTAATTAAACGGCCGTGCAATTAGATTTTGCCCCGCGGTCATCCTAATTTAACAAACCGATGCATGTGTGCATACACACGCGCGCGGCACGACGAGCGGACTCGCAAAACCCACTTCTTCATCCATCTTGCTTTGAAATTTTCGCGTCAATCGCGATTAGATATCATTAGTCAGTCGGTTAATTTCGAGCCGGTTTCTCGCTGCGCTCGGCCAACCGAGTTGTCCGACGCTCGTTATTTATTACATGACTAATTGCTGTCGTTGAGCAAGCGATCTTTCGCACAGAAAATGCTTCCTCAAATGGTTCCAGCCCTGACTGAGTTATCGAGATTCGATTATGTCAGGAAAATTGTTATAGTTACAGCAAATCGATTTTTTACGCGATCGATGTTTCATTGGAATTTACTTATCGGTTAATTGTTGCTTTCGACGGTATACAACTAATATTTTATTTGTATCATCAATTAACGTTGTGCGATCAAATAAAATTTTAACAAGTACCGCACCACGATCGATTGATATTCTCAGTGAATAATTAATCGGCAAGTTTTGATAAGCCTCGAAGTTTTACACTACTGAATCAAGTGCAGTAGATTGACAAAATTTTAACACGAAATCCATAATCGTAAAGATCCTAATACCACGAAGGCATTTATTGGCCATGAAAGTCTCGCAATGTACGAGAGGAATAGTGAGTGGTAGCTCCATTCTCGCGATTTAACTGCATCGATATCTCGCTAAAAATATCGTATTCGAAACCGCGCCCGTATAACCCCGCCGCGATAAATTCGTTACCCTTTCGGATAAGATACATTTTTATTCTACTTTCGGCCGTAGATAAAAATATGTTTCCGAAGCGCGTGGTATCTCTTATATACCGGTTGCATTTAGACGCTCGATTTAACTGAAATGCGAGCACGCGTAATAAAGAATAACTCGCGAGCTCTTGTATCCAGATAGGTGAATACCGTAACATATCGCCCGTGAGGTAAAAGTAAGAAGAGAAGATTCTGCCTTCCGCGATTAACGTAATCGGGTAATCCGGATCTATCGGTGAATAACTCCGCCCATTTGTGAAGTGAAAATAACGGAAAACTATACCCTCGGAAAGGATTTCTATTACTGACAAATATTCTTGACGCATTTTTATTTCTCACAACCTCATTTAGTGTAAAAATAAGACAATATCAAAATAAAGTTAACAATTCTTATTCTCCTCTATCGAATTAAAAAAGATTGGCTTACTATATCGAGACACGAGTAACTTATATAAATGTAAGTGTATATCTTCTTGCGTTTAGAATAAATTTTCCCTCCATCTTGCAACGTACGAAGTTGGCACCACGATATTAGACAAAAGACGATACATGCTATCATTTTATTCTAGATTTTAGAATTTTTCATTCAAGATTAAAATATACCTTTCTCTATAATAAATATTGGCGCTATATCGATCCTATTTTATAATATAGTCAAGTGTAATAGCATTGGATCCGGAAATTTTTTCTGTGGATGTAGAGAGAATTCGGGGGCGAACGACACTTGCGATGCGCGTAAAGTACCGCACCATTTCTATCGGAGATCGGAACTGGATTTCTCCACCATGGCAGTTATGTTACTCAAATCGGACGTGGTGGTCGAGGGTTAAGGCTCGGCCGCGTGCTTCGAATTTCGACGAGCAGCCGCGCGCGTACAAAGAGAAAAAGAGAAGCGGAACGAGAGAGAGAGAGAGAGGGGGGGGAGGGTATCTCTCTTGATCCTCCGAAATAAAATCACTGCGCGTTATCGCCGTTAACGATCCGGATAGAATATCGAGGATCGCGTAACCGCGCGCCAGGTACCTCGGCACGGTCGCAATTTGCAGTAACTGTTTCTCGGAACGGAACAATTTTTTTTTACAAACGCATTTATTAGCGCGACCGTGCGCGTCGATATGGAGCGCGCGGAAAACACACAGTAACGCTCGCAGATGATAATACCGGGCTGCCTTACGACTCCGCCGACGAGCGACTACAATGAGAATAAATGGGGCAGCAGTGGCTGCGGATAACTCATGAGAGAAATAAAAATAGGCCTGAGCGATCGCCGTTTCCGCGCGTCGTAAACGTACGAACGAGGAGAAATAAACTCCGAAATGACACCGCTCGATCTCCCTCGCATGCATTCGCTGTCTTAAAATCGGAGCATGTCTTACAGAAACTTTGGAAAATATTAAAACATACCAAGTTGCACGTTGCATAAAAAAGTTGATCCCCGGGAAATGGACGCTCAAAAACTAGCTTTTAGCGGTATTCTCGCTCAATTTAAATTTAAGTTTCATCCGCGAGTCGATATTTTCACTAGCTGTTTGTTGCATCGGAGCCCAACATCGTTAAACGTGTTGCAATCACTTCGCAGGCCTCGATGGCTAATTAATCCCGAACGGAATTATTTTCGATACGGTACATGCGTCCAAACGCATCGTGACTTATACACGCCCGTGGGCCGATACAAATTGCCTCCGCCGCCTACTCGAGTGCCGTCTTTAATCGCGGCGACCAGATCGATCATTCGGCGCGACTACTCGCGATCCCGCGCGATAATTAATATCCGGGCGTCGCGATTTACATGACGTGCGGATAACAATCGTAGCGGAGAAGGAAGAGGAGGAAGGGCCCGCCGAGCCAGGCCCCCTCGGCGCAATCGTCGAGGATACACCCGCGAGTCTCGGACACGTGCCTTTATTAAATATTGCGCCTAAATGACTTCGTAACGGTCGACGAGACGCATCGTCCGCGCTAACGAGCGCCACGACAGCGTTCTAACGAGGCGCTCGTCGCCCACGCGCTTTTCAGGGTTTCATACCACGCCAATAGTCCCCGAACGACTCCCACGGTGTAACGTCGCCGCTTTTCCGCGAAACGCACGCAACACAACGTTGTGACAAAACTGTAAATTGAATATCGATCGCGTTCCGTGTCGAATCCGTAACTTATACGACCGGCACGTCTGTGCCGTGTCGCCGATCGTTAAGCCCACCCATGCGCCACCCAGCTCGGAAATGAGTTCCGGCAACCTGGGTGACTTGGATAACGCGAGGACGTCGATGGGATTAGTTTGGTGTCAATACCGTGCCGTTGAAGGTAATAGTCAGACAATGAACAACAGAGCGGTGACACATTTTAGTTTTTCTAGTTTCTCCATGGGTGCCAGATCTTATATTTAGGATCGTCTTTAGATGCTCCGGAACAGATGAAATGTCTCATGCAGTATCTTTAGATAAGTTGAGGACGGTCTTGAATATAAGATCTGACTACGATTGCCGGACCTATATTATTCAAAAATCTTGTCAACACGCATTAATCTAAACACCACGCTCGTAATAAACAGACGCTTAAAATAACGCAAAACACATGTACGTTTAATCATTCTTTTTACGACGCCAGCGTATGACGTTGTGGCAAAAACGCCGTCGCGATTTGAAAAACATGCAG